GTAGATTAAGTCCCCAAAGTTTCAACCCTGTAGCTTTTGTAGGTCTCGAGATGAAAAATCGGTACATAGGCCCTGCGCACACACAGACACACACACAGACAACCTTTCGTCAGTATGCGTTTTTCGCATTGCATAGCTGCAAAAAATGCATAAAAACACTGCTTGTTTTGTCGATTTGTACAACCGGTTCGCTTTGTCCTGGTCCAGCAAGTAGAAGATGGATTTGAAAGAATGTGGATTTGTTAACGACAAAAAACAATTTTTCTATGCCTGGTCAAATCCTGTCTGGATGCTGGTAAAGCTTTGCCGTTAAAGGTAATGCGTAATAAGCACGGGGAATGTGAAGAAACAGCGGTCATTCGCCGTTAACAGTGCGGATGATTTGATCTTCCATTGTTACCAAAAACGTAAACAGAGAGCATATGTATTGCTTTATGACCAGTTGCTTAATACCACATTGTAAAATAGGTAAAAAGACATAAAAGCAGGCTGGATGGAGACCTTCAGGTTTTGGAGGAACGGGCCGTTTGTTCTGGCTTTTTCTAGTTTTCGTACTCGACCCGTGTTTCGTGTACAGGCGGATTAAAAAACAGTTATTATTAGATGGAACTGCATTCACCTGCGCGTTCTTCGGTAGTGGTTATAAATAGTTAGTCCAGCAGAAGACAGCGAAGATGAGCTTGGAGACCTTGACGCGCATGTGCTATCAGCAAGTGCCATATGGAGTCAGATGTCCGGTCGATGTCGACACCAATAAAAAGCGAGAAATTCTATTTTTTGCCAGCTGAGTATTACAACTGTTGCAAGATTCTAGACTGCAAAGAAAGACTGCTAAATTCCAGTCCGGGTGAAAAAGCATCCTGAAAGCATAATATCTTAGACGGTCTCGTGCTAGTCTGATGCTATTGCAGAAGCAATGTGTTGACGCTAGCACAGGAAAAATTTGCATCTCACGTCGTCGAGAAATCACTCACACATGCTTCGCCGAGAGTGCTGCACTATTTGATGGACGAGATTTTTGATGGATACATCACTGATGAGTAAGTCCAAAACAGTTCCATTACGCACTTGACCCTGGAAACTGAATTTACAACATTTGGTGTGG